CTATGCCTTTCTAGGTAAGTGCATCTGTAACATTCACACAGACTCATCGGAGAGAAACGGGGGGGTTAGTATCTTACCCAATAATTTTTGGCACGCAGACTGGTGCAGACAGGAGTGAGCCACCAATCTTTAGTATGTGACCTGTAGCCACAGTCACCCCTAGAGCTCCTTAAATTACGGCTATACTTTGATCAGTACAAGGAATCACCATAGCTGATAAGGAGCTCGTCATCAGCCAGTTAGCCGATGACACCACACTCTTCTTGAAGAATGCAAACCAAATCCCTCCAGCTCTTACTGTGATTAGTGATTTCTCTGAGGCCTCTGGTTTATGCCTAAATCTAAAAAAGTGTGAGTTACTAGCAATTAAAGACTGCCCTGCAAATACTATCTGTAATATCTCTGTTAAACAAGAAGTCACATACTTGGGACTGTTAATATCCAAAGACCAAAAATCAAGATGCTCTTCAAACTTCACTCCAATTATACAGAAAACCCTAAAAAAGTTCAACCAGTGGCTGCAAAGGGACTTGTCTTTGAAAGGTAGAGTGTTAATTACTAAAGCTGAAGGGATATCCCGATTAACATATGCTGCTCTCTCCTTACATCTGGATAAGAAAATTAGTAAAGATATTGACCGTATGCTCTTTAATTTTATATGGAAAAACCGTACGCATTATATTAGAAAAACTGTTGTGATGAATAAGTACGAATCAGGTGGGCTTAACGTCTTAGACTTTTCTACTTTAAATAACACTTTCAAAATTAATTGGGCTAAACATTTTCTTAAAAACCCTACCTCTATCTGGAACTTTATACCATATTATATTTTCTCTCGTTTTGGTGGCTTTAATTTTATTTTAAATTGTAATTACAATGTTGAGAAACTCCCTGTAAAGCTTTCATCCTTCCATAAGCAGGTCCTCTTAGCGTGGACCCTCATTTATAAACACAACTTCTCACCTCACAAATACCTCATCTGGAACAACAGAGATATTTTATATAAAAATAAATCACTTTTCCTGGAAACTTGGGTCCAAAATGGGATCCTATTGGTGGCTCAGCTGGTTAATAAAGAGGGACAACTACTTACTTACAACGACTTTATTGCACTATATAATTTTCCAATCAGTGTTCAGGAATTCTCAATGGTGCTTGGTGCCATACCCTCAGGGACTTTAATGTTATATAAAAACACTGACAGCTCAATATCTACCTCAGTCACTCTCCCTGATCCAGCTGAGTCACCAATAGGAAAAATCTGCTTTTCACAGGAACTTGGTAACAGCAATAAGAGAATACGTAGTTTATTCCAAGAAGATATCGTCTCTCTCCCATATATAATATCTTATTGGAACCGATATGTTCCAGATATCAAGTGGAAGACAGTCTGGATGGTCCCCCATAAATATTTGATTGTAAATAAGGTGAAAGAAGTCTCATTTAAAATTCTACATAAATGTTATCCAGCCAGTCACTACATGGTAAAATTTAAAAGGGACATAAATACTAATTGTACTTTCTGTGGGGATCATCCAGAAACTGTGACACATCTTTTTTGGTACTGTTCTTTTACACAGAGATTCTGGAAGGAATTTAGCAGGTTTGTTATTGTCCATATTTTAAGGGAGTTTTCTTTACGATGGGAAAATGTTTTATTCTGTTTCTTTAAGTTCCCCAAGAAGTATGATAAATGTTTTTTATGATAAATTTGTTAATACTTTTAGCTAAATTTTTTATCCATAAATGTAAGTTTACTAACAAAACACCATATTTCTGTCATTATTTTAAGGATGTGGAAATGTACATACAATCAATATCAGACTCCACCAACAAAAAGGCTCTCAAAACAATATATGTATGTGAATTTTTGCGTGTATTCTTATAATTGTTACCTTTTTCTTTTACCCTTGGCTTTTTGTGTTCATGTTCTGTTGTTTTGTATACTTCATCTGTTCGTATGTTGTATACTCATTGTTTGTTAAATAAAGTTTAAAAAAAAAAAAAAAAAAAAAGACCGTCCCACGGAAGAAAGCGGGGGAATGATATGAGGATGAACAAGGACGAAGTTGCAGTAATTCCTCATCCTGTTTACAGGGAGTGGCTCATTTTTCCAGACTGAAGTCATGGATCGCATAGTGTTCTTTGGAGCTGTTTTATGCTTGTGTTCATGTAAAATACAAGGTACGGATGAATTTTTATACTAATAAGTTATGCTAATACGTTTTTGGAGCTGTATATTTATTTTGAAACCTAGATGACTACACGTAAGACATTCTACAGATAAATAAATAAATAAATAAACGAATAAAAGTGCAGTGTTATTAAAGCTGTAATATGTGTAGGAATAGAACTTTATTTCATCCTAAAGTATCATTGTTTTACTCAGTTTGAAGATCTGTTTTGTAAAACACAAGCAGAAAAACAAAACAAAAACAATGAAAGGGAATGAAAAAATAGCTGTTGCAGATTTGAAAGAACATGTGTATAGTCAGAGGTTTTAGTGGGATTTGGCAACTAACGTAATGCTCAACTATAGTGGTTCAGTGTGGAGAAAAGAATCACGTAGCAATAAATCCAATTTATTTCTGTAGTAAGCATAAATAAAGCTCGTGTATGGGGTGGGGTCAGCTGAGTTGTGCTGCTGCTTCATAATTTACTGTTCTTCGTGGATATCTAACTCCCGAGCAGTATAACAGTTTAACATCAAGGTGGAATTCAGTGTGACCTTAACTGGCACCATCCGCTTAAAGTTAAATTAACCTCTGCTACTCATGAAGTAACCTGATAATGACTACGAACACCTCAGCCTCTGTTCCACCAGTTAAACATAGTGTATTACTGTAAACTGTTATAGACTTGTCACCTTTGTGCTAAACTACCCAGTATTTTCATGGACCCTTTGAAAAACACAGTTAATGTACTTCAGATAGTTTTTTCAGGACATTTTACAGTATTAAAAAAGAGTTTGGCTTCAGCAATGTATCTATTGTATTGCCTACATTAGGGATGGACCGAGCCGATATCGGTATCGGTCCGATACTGACCTAAATTACTGGATGGAAAATGAAATCCGATCCATTAAATATCACAAAAGCACCTCACAAAACTTGCACATTGCATAACCCAGCTCATGACCTTAGCAGTCGGAGCAGTATGCGTCACGTGATAGAGCGGCTGTGTGAGACCTGTCAGCGGTCTGGTTAAGCATTTGGAGCAGCAGCACGTTTAAGCTTGATGAGCTGTTGTTATTTATTTAATATTACTTTCTACACCAGGATCCTTGTAACTGTGTGATCTATGTTTGAGCCTTGTATAATGATTATGATATTGTTTCTTGGTTCTTCTGTTTGCTGTCTTTGCTTCTACTCCTTGGTTCATTGATGATGTTAATTCCCTTCTGTTATTTATCGTCTCTGTCTCCGTTTGTCCTTTGCTGTGTCCTTCCTTGCAGTCTGTCGTCCCTGAAGACTCATAGATTTACCCAAAAGTTTGATTCTGTTCATCTGGATATAACGTTTTCAGCAACATTTTGTCACTCATCCAAGTGACTTCTTCAGTCTTGGATCAGTAAAAACGCTGCATCCAGATGATCAGAATGAACTTTTTGGGATTTCCTTACCTGGATGGTTGAGCATGCATCAACACACTTATGTTTTCCTTGTTTTTCAGCCTGCATTATTCTGTATTATGTTTAAGTTTAGCAATAAAACTGCCTTTTAGTTTACCTCCCTTGTTTCCAACTCCCGCATTTGGGTCTGACTCTGCCTGCCTCACAGTCAGCACTGACATGTTTTTTGGACAGGAGAATTAAATACTATTCCACATAAATTTTTTGTGATCTTAAGTTGACATAACCTTCTGTCATTTTAGTAAATTTTACAATATATAGCTTCATGCACACGGTTCTGATATTAGTGTTGTTATTATTGTTGTTAATTTTTTAATTCTATTTTTTAATTGTTTTCTTTTAGGTCTCCAACATGTGTTTGTGCTGCATGGAAAGGACTTACACTTGGATACAGAGAAACCTGTTACACTTGACGAACAGACAGATTTGTTCTGGAAAGTTAATTCCAGTAACAATATAGCTAAATGTGTTTTTAATAAAGATCCATTCGTGTATAACAAATATGCAGGAAGGGCTGAGCTGTTTGGACCAAATTGCTCTTTGAAATTAAAGAATGTTCAACACAGTGACAGTGGAGATTATACTGCAATTGTGGTCAGCGAACAAGAGCAAAGGGTAGCTGAATACAAGGTCATAGTTCAAGGTAGGTTTCTCCTTTCATTATTTTGAAATGTTCACACATCATAGACCTGTTTTTAATACTTTTACACCTGTTCCGCAGATCCAGTGACTCCTGCTGACCTGACAGTGGACCCTGTGTCCAACAGCTCAGACTCCTGTGACCTGACTGTGACCTGCAGCACAGTGGACTTTAACATCAGCAGTAGTTTTAGATGTGATGGTAAAAACTGCGCTCATGCAGAAGAAAAGGATTTGGAGGCCACAAAAAAATTTTCCTCTCTGTATGTTTACCTGCAGCAAGACACCATTTTCTGTAATCACAGCAACCAAGTGAGCTGGAATCAAACCATGAAGGTGCTCAAATCTTACTGTGAAACAAGACAGGTGAGAATAACGGTCATAATGAATGAAAAACTGAAATAACCAGATTTTAAAGGCCTTGCTGTGTGGTGTTTGCATGTTGTCCCCATGTCGAACTACTTCTCCAAAGACATGTAGTTTGTGGGGTTAACTCAACTGATAATTGAATGTAGGTGTGAACTGACCACCGACTGTGAATGGTTGTCAACAAAATCTGTATTGCCTTCTTAAAGAACTTGTTTAAGCAAACTGCCACAACCAGGGGTATGTAATGTAATATTGTAATGATCAGTAAAAGATTTACTGCTATTATATTTTTTGTTCTTTGCAAATAAATCCAAGTATTTAACCAAAATTTCTGTGACATAACAATTTAATTTCATTACAGCTCCCAGTGGAGCCATCATAAATGCAGCTTCGACTTCTGTTCTCTTCTTGCTGACTCTCTTCATAACCTTTGTGGCATCATGAAATGTAAGTTCCAATGTTTTTTTTAGTGAATTGGTGATACATAAGGTACACAAAAATTATATCTTCCGTTTAAGCATACACTTTATACAAATACACATTCCTCTTATGATTAGGTAATGCCATGGGAAGCCCAGATTAAGATATACTTTAGTACAGCAGGTATGCGATATTTTGTGTATGCTCTGTGTGTGTGTTTATAACTGTGCTCATTCACTCTGAAGTGAGAGATTTAAGAAGTCAATTAAAAATGAATAACAATATCAAGTAAAAAAAAATAACAATAAAGCCATCAAAATTATAAAACAAAGATGGAGAAGTGTTCAGAAGGAAATTCATTAATTAATTTTGTTGTTTTCCCTTCCCCCTTTTTAGAAAACAAAACAAAAACAAAAAGTTAAAGACCACAAGGAAGAATGACAGAGGAGAAAAAGGTCTATTATCTACCTAAAGATGCACGTTGTCCGTAAATATATCATAAATATACCTCAAACTACTCAAATATTATATAAGATGATAAATGTCAGTGTTAAACTGATATGTAGTGTATATTCTGTAAATATGCAGAGGTTACAGTGTGGTCATTACAATAGTATGGCTGCTGTTCTTTTCTTAATTTTTACTGCTCTTAAACTTGTACTTTCTGCCATGATCAAAAATGTCCCACATGTGAGACTAATAAAGGCTTCTCTTACCTTATGAATTGCTTCTTCTTGTCAGATTTAGACATCACTGTTGTGATATTTTCTTGCATGTAAGATAAATTATCATGACTATTACATGTTCCTAACAAAGCACTTTTGATTTATTTGCAAGACATCATTTCAGTCCAGACTCAAAATCAGACTCCCTCAGGACATCACTCATGTCATTCTCCAACATCTACTTATGCTTTGGTAAATTTTCCACTAAGACTGAAAACATCCCCCAGCCAGAGACGGTGTATGGTCCGGTTGACAGAGCTGCAAAGTCCAATTCTACAGTCCAACAACAAACACCCAGAGCTGAAGAAAACCAATAACTGTATTTATAATGATCAACAGTGTTTATTGTGTGTACAATGTGGATTTTCATTTTACTCTGACCAAGAGAGAAACATTTTAATGAGAATGTGTGTTTGTTCACTCATATGTAGGATACTTTAGAGCAGTGGTCCACAACCTTTTTCGTGCTACGGACCGGTTTATACCTTTAAGGTGTTGTGGATAAATACAATAAAATAAAACCAGTATGATACTAGAAAAGGCCCAGGGAAACTTAACAATATAAATGATAGATAAAGATAAAAAACTATAACATCCCCCCCCCGAAAACCAAAAATTTCACACTCAAGCCTCAATTCTAACGGCCCAGCATGAAACAACTGAGGGAGCGGTACCGGTCCGTGGCCCGTGGGTTGGGGTCAAAATAGACAAAATAATTGTGTCTAACGATAGACCACAGTTATTGATACCGTGGTATAGCTTAAAGGTAGCTGAATATTTCTCTTAATTTGAATTAATTTGTTTTTCATATTTATATCCTGTCCATATCCTGTACACAGCTTGTACTCACTACAGCCTGTACATACTTATAGTTATAGAATATTCACAACATACTTCATACCGTGTACATTATAACATACCATAATAGACCCATTTCTGTAATATACTACATATCTATATTATTGCTAATATATATTGTAATATATCTATATCACTAAAGCACTTCTGGATGGATGCAAACTGCATTTCGTTGCCCTGTACCTGTGCATGTGCAATGACAATAAAGTTGAATTCTATTCTATTCTATTCTAATTAACAGACCTAGTTTTGTTTTTGAGAACATGAAATAGGCACAGAGTTTACAGACATGCCAACAAAGGGAGGAGAGTCAGCTGAGAACCAGTGAGTCAATGTACCTATTTCAGTGTGTACTGTTATTACATTAATAAAACTGCATGTGAAGTGTTCTGTCTTTATTACTCTGACTGCTTTGTTTTCATCACACACAAATCGAATGCAGTTCTCTTTAACTTTAAAAATATTCTAAGATTATGCAGTCTAGAAAATGTGAAACTTTTCATAGCTACATAAAAATAACAGAGGTCTCAAAAAGGAGGAGAATACATGAACTAACACACTACATGTAAGCCTTAAAAAAATGAGGCTATTGGTAATAAATTATCAATGGCAATTTTCCAGACTTAGAAAAAATGTCATGTGGTTGTGAAAAAACAGTAGTCATAAGTATATAGTCTGTAGAGGTTGAAACAATAAAGAGATGAACACCAAGTTAGTTTGAGAGACTTTAATAGATGTACGTGTATTCCTCTTACATGCAAAAAGGAAGAACAACAAGACGCTTTTAACTACAATATATATAGTGTCCATCCCCTTCGTCCATACATATCTGGGAGATCCTGGCACCTGTATGTGTGTGTGTGTGTGTGCACTTCTCAATTTCAGTTGACTTGATTTATTTCTGTGAAGGTTCTGGGACTCTCCACCATTTGACCTTAGAACTGAAGAAGCTTCTCGGATGAGAGGTGAAACGTTATCAAGCAACTTAAAGAAGTCCAGACGCTTTTCTTTGCAAGCTCCTTTGACTTGATTTATTTTTCACAGATGTGAGACGACCCTCTGTGTTCTTTTTGGTCAGCTGTGGATTTCTCTTTGAACTCTCCCATGGATTTCATTTCTGCACAGTCTCTTTCTATTGTTGAAAAATGAACTCTGACCTTTACTGAGACATGTGAAGCCTGCTGTTCTTTAATGTTGTTCTAGGTTCTTTTGTGATCTCTTTGGTGCACTCTTGGAGTAATGTTGGTCAACCGGTCACTCCTGGGATCCCTCAGCACTGTTCCACCTTTTCTCCATTTGTGTATAATGGCTCTCATTGGGTTCACCTGAATTAAACTTTCCAAAAAATGCAACAGCCAAAGCTCTTCTTTGGATGTTGTCTGCCTTTTGTTCCATTCTCCATCAAGATGATCCCACAGTGCTTCAAAAACATTGAGATGCAGCCTCTCCAACGTTTGCAATATTCTGGATTTTTTTTTTCTCCCGTTATCCTTTTACTGCATTCGGAGTCTTGTTGTGGTCATTGTCATTCAGACACTCACCATTGTACCACTCTTCTGACCTCCTCTGTACAAAGTGATGACTATTTAAACTAAAATGTTCTAATTTGTATTGATCATTCCATAAGATTTGTTGCCACTGATCTTTAGCTCAGTTCTTGTGTATTTTGTCATACCTGTGCCTTTTCTCTCTGTTTCTCTTAGCTTATAAATGGCTTCTTTAGAACATGCTTTCTACTGACACCACTTCTGTTGAAGTGTCAGAGAACAGTAGATGGATTATCTGAAAGGCCAGTTGCATCTCTCAAGTCCTGTGTCAGGTCTTTGCTGTACCCATTTCATAAGGACATTGCTTTCAGATACTGTGCATCTGCTGTAGATAGGTTTTAGGCCTGACACTTCTTTTGTCCTTCAGATCTTTTTAGGTGAAACTCCACACCATGCTGAAATAGCTCACGTTTCTGGCTATCAATTCTCAGGTAATCCCCATATTGGTTCAAAAATACAAATTGATGGTCATCATTCTGTATTATTACTGATATTTTCCATAGAGACTAAAGAGATATGAAAAATATGTTTTGTTGCTGTTTTTCAGTTATGTGTCAACACAATACTTGTCCATCCCTCGAATTAGATGCCTTTTATATCCTTGAATGATTCATAAGTCAGTATTAAGTAGTTTACCTAAATTTAAAACAAAAAGAAAATAAAGGATATCCTCTGAAAATGTTCAGGTACAAGGACTACGCTGAAAATGAAGAACAAACCAGTGTCAAATTATTATACTACAACCTTCCATCCCAAGTTGTCCTACAATTTAATTATGTTATTTTCAAAACTTTTTCCCTCAGAACAAAACAACAGTGCCACTATCTGAAAAAAAGATGATACAGTAGAGGCTTTATCTTGTGTTTCCAACATATGTAATAATACAAAATAATACCAATTTCAGTCTCTTAAACCTGCTTTCTATAGAAAAAAACTCTTTTTTGTTGTTATTTGTTTTTAGATGAAATCCTTAAAACAATTTAAAATGATATACACTTACAAAAACATTCTCTTACATGCATTAAAACATTTGGTTTACAAAACGAGTTTATTGCTGTTATTGTCTTTCATTGTAATTTAACTGAGAATTAGAAGATAACTTTTGTGATACGAATGGTTATTCCCACATTTTATTGTTTTATTCTATAAACTCTCACATTTTGTGAATGTGATTGCATTACAGTAATGATGACAGATGACAGGCGGATGAATGATTACAGAGCTTCCTTATTGAAGCTTCTATTTCACGACCCACAGAAACTCCCCTTTCCCTCAAACGTTTTCTCTGTTTACCGACAAAATTATTAGCCCCACCATGACATCTGATGGAGACATCGGGAAATAACTGTGGATGCACATCCTGGATTACTCTTTTTGGCTCCACTTACTCCGTCCCAATGTCTGTATGGTCCGTCCCACCGAAGAAAGCGGGGGAATGGAGGACGAAGTTGCAATAATTCCTCATCCTGATTTACAGGGAGTGGCTCATTTTTCCAGACTGAAGTAATTTCATGGATCTGAAGTCATGGATCGCATAGTGTTTTTTGGAGCTGTTTTATGCTTGTGTTCATGTAAAATAGACAGACTTTAATACATGTACAAAACCCACACACATCTTGCATGTAAAAAGGAAAAACAACACAACCATTTTATGATGTTGTGTATATATAGACCAGTATACTGTATATAGTGTCCATGCTCCCACAGGTGCCAGCTTCTATAAGGAGGCCTCCTTGTCCCTACATATTCCAGTGATCCTGGGACCTGTATGATAACACATATCTTCTAAAAGTTACTGGTCACATGCTTCCCACTTAACTTTGGATATCTGTAAATGCACATGGATGCATATGTCACACAAACCACACAGTGACAGTGAAAAGGAAAAACTCCTTTT